TATGAGCTAATTTTATGAATAGCATAATATTTTTCTGGATAAAATATTGAGTTAGCCTTTTTTTAAAAACAGGCTCAAAACGAACAAATTTAACAACATTAGTTAATTTGATAAAAGGAAACTTAATTGCTTATATAAATTTCATATGCAATGTGAATTAGAGGTTAACAATGCCCTGCCCGTTACGAATTTTCGCACAAGTTTCCCAGCTTGGTAGATTAAATTTTTACCAGGCCCGATAAGTTATAATTTTTATTATATTTGCCCAGTCCGATATTACAATTTTTTAAAAAAGTAGCACTGCCCGACATGTTATAAATTCTTTAAAATTTGTCCGGCACAGCCAATAAAAATTTAACAAAATGTTCGCCACTACCTGTAAAATTTTTTTGTATGAATATTCTATATCTATATATAATTTTTTCCCAATGTCAATCATAGGGTTTGCCGTTGTTTTCATATAAAAACTCTTATTATGGGAACCCAAAATAAGTAAACAACATTTTTTTATATTTTGTTATAAAAAAAATATCATACCCCTATTTTTATCCTTATTTTAAACAAATTCACCAAAAACGAACATTTATTAAAAAAAAATTTTTTTTACATTATAAACTTATAATTTATTCATTAAAAAATTCTAAATAAATTTATTTGCATAAAATGATTTTGTGCGTAGTATAGTGTATAATAAAATAATCTTAAAAATTAATTAAATGCTAATAATATTTACGTATGATTTTTTTTATATATTGTTATTTAATAATTAATGGGCGTCATTCATGGTTAAGCAAGGATTTATATATTCCTTTAAATGAGAATATCTTTTACTATCTTCAACTGATATCTATCGATTTAAAAGGGGAATGAATATTATGCAATAATTTTATAAAAATGTTAAATTAAAATATGTTCTTTCTAGTGTTGTTAAAGTAACTAGTTATATTTTAAAAATTGTAACTAGTAACTGTAATCAGTTATATTTTTTGAAATCTAACTGCCAAAAGTAACTAGTTACTTTAAAAAATATGTATGTATATAAATCTAAATATATTCAAATAATTAATTTTATTAATATGTTTGTTTTAAAAATATAACTATTTATTAAAAGAATATTAAAATTATAATCAACATACTAAATCTATATTCTATATAAAAATATATAATTAAAAGAAGAGAAATTAAAATAAATAAATAATATATAGGTTTGGTTGACGGGGCTTAATGACCCATGTATAGATAATATTCTTTGTCGTAGGTAGAAGCCTTTTGAATCACTGATAAAATGTAACCTTTGTCTGTTTTGAATAATTTTAAGGCTTGGGGTCCAAATGATTCACAGGTGTCTGAGACTACCGAAACAAACAAAAGATTATTAAGGTAGCTATATTTATTTGATTTTGTATTTTCAGCTTTCGTGATGGAGTTGACAGAAAAAGATCTGACAAAACGATCTACACATGTATAATCCTAAGAGAGGGGTACCTTGGTTCTAAGAGACTAGCGTCATTCCATCAGGTCTTAATCGAATTGATGACATAGTGCCTGGGCAATCTGCCTTTTGAAAAACGACAGTGTGATGGGGGGGGGGTGTCGGTGTCCTAGGCTATCGATATGAGTATCACAATGGACACATGATGTCGGTGTTGCGATTTCACAGCCTAAACGAAGACCTATAACTATTTTAAGTTCTTCGTTGGTTAATAAACAAGTCTAAATTAGAACTAGGTATTGTTTATGACCATTGGTAACCAAGGTGACATATGGCTGTGGCTGGAATTATTTGATCCAGCAAAAGAGTCGTATTGTTGTCATTCTGTATACTCGTGGTTGGGTTTATGTGGAGAAAGAGCGATGGAGATTTTCTTTGAACAATATAATCGACGCAATGCTGTATCATGGTAAATTCCAGTCTCTTTGTTTTATGGAATTTGGATATGAGCGACATAGAGCATTTTTCTCCATTTAATGCTACAGTATGATGTGGATCGATAGTATCCAAGTCTCCAAGTGTGTATTGAAATTTAGCAATTAAGGATTAAAAGGTTGAAATGCTTAAGGATATGGGTGAATGGATACCCATATACCTAGCTTTGGTGGAAGGACAACTTGCATCCAGGAGAGTGCTGAGAATTTTTTATTCAAAAAAGACTCGAGAGTATATAATAACTCCAAGTTCTAGTAATATTTCAGGGGACATGAATTGCTGACAAACGAAAGGCGTATAAAATTTTAGGAATAAATAAAAAAAATTTAAATAAATAAAAAGCATGATGAGCAGGTAAATGATTTTAAATATTTTTCATTCTATTGTATTTGGAAAAAATTTATCTCTGAAATGAAATATAGCACTTTCACCTCCAATGAATGAACCTATGTGGGTAAAGCTAGCTTTGTCCATTATAACAAAATTTTCAGGTAGGCAGTCCGAATCAAGGGTGTAATAATTTTAAATTAAATTTATTAATTTAAAATTTTGTTAAAATGTCTGATTGTATTCGCAAATTATATGCAACAATAATATAATTTACCGTCCAAATAGATTTTCTTTTCTTAAATTGTTACATTGTTGAGTTTTATAGTTTTGTAACCAAATCCAAGTAAAACCTATTATTTAATATTATATTTCTTTACAAATTTAGCACAATATATTCCATATTTTGTCCTCAAATTGTTGGCAATATTTATACTCTAAAATTTCATAAGTAATAAATGTATTTTTTTTAAAAATTAGATCATAAAACTTAGTATAAGGAAAAACAAAGACGATTATTTTAGAATTAAATAATTTTTGTATAAAATACTAAATTAGTAATCTTTAATTACTAATAAGGAAAGACAAAAACTATGGAAGAAAAACATATAATGGAGATATCAAATATCATTTCCTTTAACAAGAGGTTAATCAAATACCTTTCACAAATGAATCATGTGCGAAACCATTGATGTAGTTGGAATTTTTGATTAAAGCGGCAAAATATTGTTGATAATAAACTTATAGAAAATTTTATGAAATCCAATAATAACACATTATCTTTATATGATGATTTCCCAAATTTAAAATTACTTATTATTAAATATAATGTTGTCCAAGTGCTCCTGTAGAGCGTATTCAGTCTAGGTAAGCTCATGTTTGGAGAGAAACGAGCGTGTCTCTTAGTAAAACTTTGGATATCAATTTGTTGTTAAAAACAAATAAACATTATTAAACTCTAATTTTTATGAAAAATAAATATATACTTTTTTTTCAATGCAAATATATATATTTTTATTTCGTGTAATATAAATATATTCTATCTTCCAATATTTTTTTTCGGCTTAATTATTTTTTTATATAAATAAATTGCATTTTTTTAAAATAATTGATTATAATTTGTATGTACTAATTTTTTTATATTAAATAAATACGTATATAAATAATGCGATATGAATGATGTATAAAGTAACTTATAATGTAACTAGTTACTTTTGAAATATAACTGAAATTAATAACTAGTTATATTTTTACCAATGTAACTAGCAACTGTAACTAGTTATGTTTCAAAAGTAACTTTTAACAACACTAGTTCTTTCCAGGTTCCAACTAATTGTGCACTGCGATTTATAGTTTTTTAATTGATATTTTTTATATCAATGAACACATTTCTTTTTAGTGTTTTAACATGACACATTGATGGTTATTTTAGAAAAGAAAATTAGTCATTTTATATTCTATATTACTAACCAAATCTTATAAGGCAAAATTATACATGTACATAAAAAATAAGAATATTTGAGTAATCTTCTCTAAAAAATATCAGAACCTAATTTTTATTCAATAAGTTTATAGATATACTTATTTTTTTTAAAAAAAAATAGATTGTTTCTATTTTATAATATATTTTTATGTAAGACCAATGTTGCACAAAATTATTTAAGCTAATAAATGTATTAAATAATTTTTTAAATAATTTTTTAGAGAACTTTTAATAAATAAATTATAAGTTTATTGTGAAATTTTTTTAAAAAAAATAAATGTTTGTTGAATGAGAATTTTGTGGAAAGAACGATGAGGTTTTGACATTTTTTTTAGTATTTTTTTATATGATGTTCGAATTGAATGATAACAAAATATAAAAATTTTGTTAACATATTTTATGTTTTCTTGATAGGAATTCTGTGCGAAAACAAAGGCAAACCCTATAAGTCACTTATATCTCTCCTCCATGGCTCTCTTTTTTAACAAACGCTTTATAAATATTGTGTTTGATATCTATATTGTATTTTTTGTGAATTTAAGATATCTTTTTTATAGATATGGATTTTATATAGACAGATCTTAAATATAAATATCAGGGGCGTTGCCAAGGGGGAGGGAAAAAATTTCCATTGCAAATTTACCTGGTTTCTATAATATCATTTTAAGCTAATGACCCCCCTACCTCCCTCTCTCCAAATGATAAGGAAGAATTTGAAAGAAAAATTAGTAAACGTTATTAACTTTTTAAAATAACAAATAAATTTAAAAAAAAAACATTATAAAACAAAATTAAAACTCAAAATTATTTATAAAAATCCAATATAGCCAATGCCTACAATAAGTCGACCTAAAGATCTCACCCTCCTCTGAACAAAATTCTGGATACGCATATGATGAAGATATAAGCATATTGTTTATTTCAAATAAAAGATATCAGAATTTTAATACCCAGGGCCTATTAAAATTTTACAAAAAAACAGAGATTAGGCATAAATTATCCGGCCAAGCCTGAAAATTTTTTATGAACGAATTTTGCTGCTAGATCCGTTAAAAATTTTGCCCCAGCTAGGCCTCTTATAATTTTTTCAAAAATTTCTGGCATGGCTGGCGAACCGAGATTTTGGACGGGCCGGGCATAATCTTTAATATGAATGATAAAAGAAATATCGATATACATTTTGTGTTTAAAATATAAATAAAAATAGGATGATTTTCAATTAAAGTAGGAAATAGAACAAGCATAAAAAGAATATATTCTTACTATTTGTTTGAAATTTATTCGTCCTTTGAGCGCTCCAGCTAATATGCAGAAAGCTATAATTGTTGTCATTTATGTTCTATAATTTAATTTAATTAAGAATTTAGAAAAAAAAAATTTCACCTAATTTGGTAATATAAACGTTAATATTATATTTTTTGTTATTTATTTATTTTACTATGCATATTTATTTCTATTATAAAATGATAATCATCATGAATTTGAAAATAACCTAATTTGATGAACCTTGAATATTTTATTTACTTTCTTATAAATTGTTAAATTTTTTAGTTAATTTTCAAACAACAAAATTTTTAAAAGTTTGATTTTTAAAATAAATCATTATATATAATTTAAAACACTAAAAATGCTTATATAATACCTAATCTAAAAACTAAAATCATAAATACAAGAAAGATTAATATGCGTGGTCAGATATTTTTTAACATAGCCCCCCCCCCTACCCCCAACGAAATAATTGTAGTTTGTCAACACCCATTTTTAGAGCCGTACATTTATCCTCTCTTTTACAGTCTCCTTTTAGAAACTCGGCCTTAAAAATGATATCTCCTTAGATTGCTTTCGATCCTAATAAAAAGGAACAAAAGGCGATATTTTGAAAATATTAAAAATAAAATAAAAATATAGATTTTTAAACCTATATTTAAATAATTGTAATAAATTAAAGTATTAGGTGTGTCAAAAGTCAAAATTTTATGTAAAAAAAAATTAGTTCTTCTAGATAAGTTATTGAATATACCAACTCTAATAGTAATTAAATTCCTTCTCTATTGAATTACAAAATCAAGTTTGGACGCATATATATAAAGTGGGAGAATCAATTATTTTTTTTGAAAAATTTTGATTCATTTTTTCTAACATTTTTTATTTTATTAGATAGAATTGATTTACAAAGATATTAAAGTTATGGAAATAGTCAAAATAGAAATTAGTTACATTTCTTAGATAAAATAAACTAGTTATTTTAAAAAAAATATAACGAGTTACTTTTTAGTTTACTATAAGGCTTCAGACAAGAACAATCAGTTTATCTAAAGTAAAAAATGAATAAAGGTAACTATTCGTATTCTATTTGCTTGGTAGGTTCTAAATTTTATTTATAATTTCTAAATAAATTGTATTTAATATTTCTATAGAGTATATATGAAAATAAATAGGTTAATATAGCTAATCCCAATAATTCTAGTAATTAAAAAGACTATATAAAATTATACAGTATCATTTTAATGGAATATTTAGAAAAAAGATAACTGGCCAATAAACCCTGACATTCGTTATGGGGAAGAGCAAATTAAAAGACTTTGTTTCAGAGTAAAGCTTGATGTGGATATATCAATAAATAATGAAAACAATAAATGCCCCAGTGATTGGAAAAAATATATATTACTACAATTCGGTAATTGCCGAATGGTTACTACTATCGAGGATTTGCGTGCAAATCTTATGATAAAACATATTTTAAGTTAATGATGTCAAACGTTAACGTGCCTCCTCTTAGTCAGGGGAATTATACTCCATAAAAAGTGCTTGACAAGTCACAGGTTTGCAAACGATTACCAATCGAGGTAAAACGTTTGGTTAATATTATTTAAAAAAATTTTAAAAATTTGCTAGCGAATTGTATTTTTTTGACATATTCCGATTTATGCATTTTATTATATAATAATATAATAATTTTCATGTAATTATAAAAGGCACTCTAAAAAATTACTTTATTACTTACGTAATATTATCAGAGACCTGCAGGCCCAGCCGGAGCCGTATTTTTTTTTTTAAATATAAAGAATTTTTGGGACTCTTTCAATCAATAAACATATTGAATGAATATTTAAAAGAAAAAATGATTTCCATTAATACAATTTATATGCTAAAATACATGGACAAATTAGCAGATTGTGAACATGCCAAGGTAACTTCAAATTAGATCATATTACGATTAGCTATAAAAAGCGAAAAAAATTAATCAATTCAGCATTTGAAGCAAAAATATAATTTTACTAGAAAATAATTTTTCATTTTTTCTGCTTCCTGCTTCAGAGACATTTAAAAGTTAAATGTTTGGAAAATAAGAGTATTGGATTTCCCCAAATTTTAATTTTAGCTAAAAAAAATTATGTGTCCAGCTATTAGCATACTCAACTAGCGTGTATTTTTATGGGTTCTTGAATTCTAGAAGATATTTATTGTGCTCTTCCAATTTAAGTTAAATAAAATACTTAAAAATTGATTTTGTAATTTGAGTAATATTATCATAAATAATCAAAATTTGCATATTAAATTATATTTCAAAAATTCGTTTCCAAAAAATTATGTTTAGTAAAAAAAATAATTAATTTAAAAATTTATTCGGTGCTGCCATGCTTATTATGATTTTTATGGTGGCAAACTTGTGGGATCGTCGTCAGATGCTTGTTGAAAGAATAAACACCGTCAGCGACTGTCAGCCCACGGTCAAAGTATTAATAAAATAAATAAATAATGTGTATAAAATATCTTATTTGAAATAACATACATTAAAATTTTTTGGTGATTTCGACATGCGTAAAGGTTAACATATCGTAATATGGTACAAGCACACATTATAACTCTAGACTCTTTATAGATATTGGGCTAATATTAATATGATTTCTTAATAAGGCTACGAGTAATAAAAATCTAGAAGTTACATTTTTTTATATGATGGAAATAGGAGTTACAATTTAATAATCCAACATTACCCGTTTTCAGACTTTCTTTATTACTACCTTGTCACAGATCATTCTTCTTCCAATGTAGAGATTGGGGATGGATAGGACATTTTTCGTACAAACCTGAATAAATTCAGTGAAATTAGACTAATCTGAATAAGTAAAACATCTTACAGATTATTTGAAATTATTAATTTATATTAACAAACTATATTTGTTTAGAAAATTAAATTTGAAAAAAAAATTTTTTTTGTCCTAATTATGACATACTCTGGGTACGTTAAGTCACATACATTTGATTGTTGATTCACTCATAAAATAGAGGTCTAAAAATAAATTAAAAATCAGTATTTTAGTAAGATTAGAGAATGAGAAATTTATGTCAGAGGTTTCGGATAAAAATTTAAAACTTTTCCATGATCTTCTGTACAGAAGATGTTCCTTTCTTATTATTATAATTTTGCATACGTAGTAAATGGTAAATGGGCTAAAATTCGTGTCCAAACTATACTATGATCAACTATGGCTGATCCCATTAACTTTATAAATATCATTCAGAATCATATTCATTCTTGTTTATTTATTTTTAAAATTTGTCAGATTAAAAATAGGGTTTTAACTTTCCTAAAATTTATTTAATAAGATTTTAGAATTTTATTTATAAACATAAACGATAAAGTTCGCAATTATTTTTTATTACTTTTGGCATGCTAAAGCACATTTTTTTGTAAAAACTAAAATACTAAATATTTTTCAAATTTTGACAAAATTATCTATATTAGGTTAAATTTCCAGTCTTATTAAAAAATAGTTCAATAATTGGAGTGATGGTTTCTCTGTACTCAATCTACCCCAGTCTCCCCTACCTTAAAAAAATTTGAGAATAATACTATCAAAAATATTAATCCATTAATTTATATTATTTTAATAGAATCAATTTTTATACATACTGTATAGAACGATTGAGGATAGAAGTTCGTTATATGAGTTATATATTAGTTATGTTATCTATAAACGAAACTGTATTTCCGCTTGAGTTTAATATTTCCCAAGTTCTTATACGTGAAATACATAATATTTTGATAAAATAAAATTTTTAACATATATTATTATTATACCATGTTAATAGGCATAAATAATATAAAAATGGGGAAATACCCAGTCTTTAAATTAATTGGAGTAATAATGACTAATAATTGATATCTTTTATTTTATTTAAAATATGGATTATCCTTTAATGTTAAATATAAATGGGAAGCAGTTGCCACTACATAATTTTATGTGTACTTGAAAAAATTTGCTCATGTATACTATTTAATATATCGCTTTGAGGCCTTTCACAAAGATTGAACTCTTTAATTTCTTTAATATTGATAACATAAAAGATTAAAATTTTGGACAAACAGGCCAAATCAAAATTTTAATATTTTTATTAAATTGCAAAATTATATTTCGGTTATTATACAAATTGTTTATTTCTTTTGATGCATGTCTTTCTATAAAAATAATCCCGTTGAAATGTAATTCGTAGTTGCTATAATTTATCGTGTAAATATAACTTACTTATAAATGATCTTATCTGGAAACTTCAACTAGGCTAAAGTTTTTTTAAAAAAATTATCTAGTCCAAAGACCTATTAAGGTGCCCTTAATAAAGTTAGTTGTTTGTTTGCATATAATATTGAAATAGAGCTATCGCCACTACTAAAATTGCCTTCATTTCGCATTAATTTGTAAAAATATTAATGTCGATCAATTAAACAAGTTCACTAAATTTCCAAAAACATGAACCAAACAGTGAATTTTTTTATATATAGGTTCAATCGGGTTCAGTGAATCTTATATTTTGAATCATATATTATGATATTTATATATAATAGTAAATACAAATATTAATAATTTGAATGAGATTATATAATATTTTTAAATTTCCGATTAACCGAAGCGTTAATAAATTTTAAAAAAGTCAATTTATTTACGCTATTTATTTTCAGAGATTATTAATTAAGTGAAAATGAAAGTGAGCAAATAAAAGTATAAATTATTATTCCTAATTCTTATAAATTTATGTTTTTTAATAATTATTTAATTTTATTATTATTATTAATTATTATATGAACAATGCAAATTTTGATAAGAAATTTTCATTTGATATATCAAAACTAATACACTAAATTTAAGTAAAATTTGAATCAGTTAATTTAAAGAATTCTCAAAATCTAACTTCAAAATTGCTAAACAAAAATGTAGGGAAATTGGTTTTTGTAAACCTATTTTAAATTTTTGTATATATTCTCATCATTTATTTCTTGTTCAAATTAATTTACCATCTCATATTTTACATATTTATAAGATACAATATAAAATTAATGAAATGAATATTATTAATAAAATGACAATTTTCTTCAAATTTTATTTGAAAGTTTAATAAATGATCCGCAATTATTCATTTTATATAGATTTAAGATAAAA